AAAATAGTTAGCTATACATTTGATGCTAGACTTTTATTCCATTCTTTAACCTGAGCAAAGGCATTGCATAGATATAATAAACTTTTGAAAATAGGAACAGAATGGGCATCTACCTAATATATAAAATCATTGTAATAAAAAATTATTATTATTTTGAACAAACATTACAGGCATTAAAACAGAATAGAATTCTCTTATTTGTAAATTAAGGATCTTATATAATTTATCTTAGATGTAAAAAGTTTAATTTTTTTTTTAACTTTTCAAACATTTAAACTAAATTTGATGACCACAAACAAGACAAAGACCTTGTCTATAAAATGAATTTTCGCCACGCTCTGAACACACAACACACTTTCTCACCTTAGAGGCTTGAAGCTTCCTATCAGCTTTGCTGTGCTATTCAAAGCGTTTTAAAACAAGATGCAGCTTTTGCTCCTGATTTCTAACTGAATGCAACTGCCTTAATTCCTTATTTACGCTATTATGCAAACACTCTCCCTCCTCTTCACTCAGCAACCCAATAGTTTTATGCAATTTTACAAATAGTGGTACATTGAAAATGAGTTCATGCATTTTTCGCGTGATACTTTCTTTTGGAAAGCAAGCATGAAACTCAATAGCAAATAAATTTATATATTGATGAAGCTCAGAAATTTTGGCATCAGAAAGAAATTTTCGCTTAAAAAGAATAGGTTGCAAGTTATTAAAAACACTAAACACACGTACAAATCTATTTTTAATTGCTTCATCATCAATAACACTACAAAGTTTATAGTGGTTTCTTAATACTATTTTACAATGATTACCTACAAATACATTACCATGGTAAGCTTGTCGCTCAACTTTCATATCTTCAAGGGCCTTATAAAGAGACCTCTCATGAGTCCCCATGCTACTTATAGATATTTTTTCTAGGTCTTCACACTCTATCTGCAATCGAATATACTCAACGTCTAAAACTTCGCGCTGTGCGCGTATAAAAGAAATTTTTTCAGAGATATAAAGGTCAAGACATTCTAAATCTTCACCTTGACATGCTAAACACTCATACTTCTCTATATCACACAATACATTCTTTTCCGAACCACCAATAATTTCACAAAATTGATGGAACAATTTTTGGCACGTACCACACTGCACCCAATCAATGTTACAATCATATTTAGTAATTAAACACCTGATACTAGCACACTTTTCTTGCTGTTTACAGGTTTTTTTTTATTGGAGGAGTTTAGAGATATGCATTCCAATTCAGAAATATTTTTATCAAAAGCTAACCAACGAGTCTGTAGATTTGCAACGTCTACAAATTGATTTCCTAATAAACGTAAAGAGTCTGCTGTTTTAGAACATTCAAAGCTTTTAGCAGCCCACAATTCATTCGTTCTCACATTCTCATTATGCGACAAAGACGAAACAGCTTGACAATCCAAAGTCTTACACTCCTTCAACAATAACTTATAAAGTTTTAACACAACTCCTAACATAATATGCAAAACAGGTGGCACTACATAATCTAAAGTTATTATGGGGAAAATCACAGGAGCAATAATTGAATTATGAAACTTATCTAGAGCTCTTAGGTTTCCACCTTGTCTATCTTCACACAAGTTCTCATTTTAAGCATTTTCCAGAGATTGTATTGTCCTCCTTAAGATGTTACAATTAGCAGGTGTGTGAGGCATAGAAGCATGGTTTCTTAGAGAATTCAACTTAACTAGGTCTGTAGAACTAGGAAAGCTAGCAGCTGAACCCTGGTGTCCCAGAACATCATCGATAAAATGAAAATCTCCACCTAAGAACAACCTGACTATTTTGCCTTTTAGCTTAAAATCTGACGACTGAATTCTTTTAATGTCATTGGCATAATGCCCGAGAACTAAGGCAATATTCTCACGACAGTCTGAACCCTGATACATACAAAATAAATGAACATCATATACAGACCCTGATGATTTAGAATTGACAACTTCAAAATGGAATTTCATATACTTCCCACCCTTATCCCCAGCAAAAAGGAGCCATACCTCTTCGCAAAAACCGACATCAGAATTAAAGTGGTCACGAACGTGCAGACTATTGAAAACCTCTTCAATATAAGTTATCAAATTCTTGACCATCAATACAGGTACTAAACAAGGTGCTTCATTCGCAGATGGATAAAGCAACATGGACTTTACAGTAACATGTTCTTTACTAACATGCATTGTCCGCATTTCTTGTTCTTGTCTTATCTTGGGCTCAGATGGGAGAATCCTTGCACCAAGATTATACAGAATACGTCTTAGCCTACGGAATTCAGCCGTGGGCATCCTTAATTGGCTCTGCAGCTCTACAGCATCAGAAACACTTAACTGCCAACTTATTTGCAACACAATGAAACATAGACTTTTCACAAGACACAGAATCACAAAACATAGACAAATCACTTTCTAAATCTGAACAAGCTAATAATCGAAGGAATATAAAAGCAAGTTTAGATCGTCTAGCTGCAGCATGCCTACCTAACTTAGAATAAGATTTACCATCTCCTAACTTAATGTAAGTATATTTCTTACCAACTATTGGCTTTTTAACTGATATAGTCTGTGGATTACTTAATTTAAACCCACAGAATAATTCAGAGGAACCAATGTTGCCATAGTCTAAATAAGAATCAACGACAACTAAATCCTTATCACTGCTAGCAAAATATTTGCAAATTTGGAAACTGTTCTTGTTTATATCACTGATTTTTGCATTTTTTTTTTCAAATTTAAATTTTTTTAGCAATCTTACATTTTTGGCACAAGCAGATGCAAATTTACGGTGTGCTGTTTTTAATTTTTTTTTTTTTTAAAAGTTGGAACTGCTCCTCCTGTTTTAGCCTAATACTCATAGTCTCTAATTGAGAACTTAATGAGTTACAATGTGCGTTGAGAACCTTGTTTTTAGAATTTAAATATATAACTTCAGTTTCCAACTTTGATACCTGTATTTTTAAATTATCTATTTGCTCCACATTATTTTTTTCTTTAGAAATTAATTGTTCAACTTGACTACTTAGTTCCTTATTCCTATTTAAAATATAAAAATTATCTGCATCTGCTGATTTTTTTTGTTTTTTTGTTTGTGGAGCTGGAGACAGTTGCATTTTAAAAAATGCTTCGTTTTTTGAAGCTTCAAAATACTTTTTAGAATCTTTTTTTCTTTGTTTTATTTTTCGGCACATTTTATTTAACACATCAATATTAGGCATATTAAACTCAATTGGCAAAAGAAAACTTAAAAAAGTAAACAACGCTTTTGGATGAAAAACTGTTAATAAAATTGAAATCACATTGTTAGTTATCTTACTAGTGTCAATTACTCGCTTTACAAAATTAAAGTTATACTCATTTTCCCAACCATCTTCTCAACCGATGTACAGTTTCAAAATTTCCCTCTCAGTTGCATACATCACATAAATAATGATAATGATATAATAATATTTACAAATAAATACACTAAAAATAAAAGAATTAAGCAACTTATCTGAGATTAGTCAAATATCCACGAGGAAATAATCCACGAAACTTTGCTTTATAATCTTTATTGATATAGTAATAAAATTATAATACAAACAACTTAAATAGACTAATATTGACAAATAGATGCACTAGATAAAATCGGATTAATCAACTTATTTGAAATTAGTCAAATATCCAAGAGAAATTAATCCGCGAAACTTTGTTATTTATTCTATAAAATGTGTCTCGTTTGTTTTGTTTGTTTTCTTAAAATGCATCCGATAATCGTTGGGGACGTAACGATCAGAGTTTGCGTCACCGCTTTAAAATGTAAACAAGAATTTATGCAAAAAAAACTAAAAAAAATGTCGCTAAACATGCCAAGTTTGAAAACATATTTGATAACATAGCTAGAGGTACAGAAAATAATTTTTTGATTTTCTTATTTATATAAGGTTGAAGTATTACTAAATTTACAGACTTTTCAAAAATGTTATGTTTTTTATTCAAAACGAATAAAAACAAAAATATAAATGCATTAAAAACTAACTTTCTATATAAAAACTTGCAAAGTCTGTGGAAATCTAGATAGAACAGACATTCATTAATAACTGTTCTAAATTTCAACCATCGACCATGTAGCTATGTTATCAAATCTTAGTTGGCCTAAGACAGGTTTTGCGTAAAAATCGCAAAAATCAGAAAAGTGATGCCAAATTATTAACAATATTTTTACAGCTTTCATTTTTATTCCGTTTAATGTAAATGTTTATTTAACAAGGAAAGATAGATCTTTTATATTTTTTTTATTTGAAGATGAAAGCATTTATAGAAAAAAAATACTATTATTTTAAAGTTAATGAATTTTTATACTTTTTATGCGGAAATACTTTTTTTTTTGATAAACTCGTGACGTCAGGCTCGCTTTTATATTGAGTGAAACAGCCGTGATATATATAAATATGATAAAGATATAATATAGATGTAGTAAAATATGTTTAATATGAATTAAATAAACAAATAAAAGATAAAATATATTTAAAAAATACAAAAGATCTAGTAGAAACTAGATCTGTAAACTGAATATAGTAGATAATCTACTATATTCAGTTTACAGATCTAGTTTGTAGAAAAAATTTTTTTACTTACTCACCAGTTTTTTATTTTAAATTAGAAAACATTGAAGAAGATACAGGCGCTCAAGATACAAATTCTGCAATTTACCTTGATAATGGTTTGTCTAATATTTAAACATTAAATAAAAATGTTATATATATATATATATATATATATATATATATATATATATATATATATATATATATATATATATATATATATATATATATATATATATATATATATATATATATATATATATATATATATATATATATATATATATATATATATATATATATATATATATATATATATATATATATATATATATATATATATATATATATATATATATATATATATATATGTATATATATATATACGCAGTGGCTACGGGTACGTCTAGACGTATTCCTAACAAAATAAGTTAAAGATACGTCCAAACTTTCGGACGCGGAGGAGCATAATTGTTTCGATTTTATCAAAGATTTGCGTTAACAATGACTTTGAATGTTGGTGATAGTTTTAACTCTTTAAAAGAATTAGAAGAAGCGATTAAGAACTATGAAATTGAATTTAACGTTTCTCTATACAAACGAGAGAGTAGATCTATTGCATCTGCAAGGAAAAAAGGCATTAAACGAACGTTAAATGACGATTTGTTATTTTATAGTATGCATTATGCATGCTATCATGGAGGGAAAAATTTTAAAAGTAGATCAAAAGGAAAGCGTCCAAATCAAAGGTATATATTATTTAGTAGATATATCATATAAATATTATAAATGCTCTCTTATATATTATCAAAAATGAAAGTTAAATTTGAAAACATAAGTTAATTCTCCTCATTTATTTATATTGATCCATTGAAAGAATTTAATTGAATTAAAGCATTTAAAATTTAATCTATAAAAATGTTTATCTATTTGAAAAATCATAATCTTTTTGTAATAGGTTTATATTAAGAAGACATGTTCCTCTTTTAAAATGATTAAAAGCCAAAGTTTAAAGTTTCTCTAGAAGAATTAATAAGTTTTAGCAAGAGAAGCTTTTATATTGTTTCTTCACACATTTTATGCATACACTGTATTTTTTGCTTACTCTGTAATTGTATGAATAACTATGCTAATCTTTAGATTATCCTTTTGTCAGTTTAACTTACATAATGACTCTTTTTAATTTTCATACTAATTTCAGTCAACTTTTTTCTTAGTTTGACATAATGACTCTTTTTAGTACTGTTAGTACTGTTATACCCATTTAGAGCAGCCTTACAGTGATATATATTTATATTATTATGTCTTCTGCATATTATCAACAACATTGGAACTTTCAAACTATTTTCAATTATTTGGTCTGCTCCATTGACTCTAACAGCATATTTTGCAGTTGTATTTGATCATATAACAATAATCTGATTTCTACATCCGTAATATTTACTTGTTCTGCTTGGTCAACTCACTTGAAATAAAGATATTGAACAACACCTAAAAGGTGGTATATGTTTCCATGGTGTCATCATCTGGGGAACTCACTGAGACTTAAATTGGTCAATGCTTTTAACTAATATTCAACCCTGTGGTAATCTGTTACAACATTTTAATATCAACATTAAGTATAAGATGATTCATGATTGAAGCGCACAAAATCTTCCTCATGTTTATATAATTAAACAGATTTAATGAGGTGTGCTTTGGCACAGTGGTATCTCGTCTATTTCTACACCAACATTTTATAAGTCTTAGGTAAATCCATTTATGGGTATTACCTAAATGTACCTCATTTTTGCTGTTCTACTAATATATACACGCAGTAGCAGAGAGAGCGGGCAGAGCTTTTAGGAGGCCCAAACCACCCAAGAAAATTTCTTTGTCATTTAACTAGTATTTTAAAATAAAGTTTTTTTTTTTTTTTGTTTTTTTTATTAGTTTTGTTTTTTTGTTGGTAGAAAGTAAGCTGAGGTCTTTATGAACAATTTCCTTGAGTTATGCTACTCTATCAGGGAACTTGTAATCTTAATTCTTATTACAACCTGCTTTTTGATATATTAGATATTAAACAAAAAATAAGTCTTCAGAAAAAATCAATTTATATAAAAAAGATAAATTATACTATAATATTTATCACATTTTAAAATAAATTGAACTGGTGCAGAGCAAATAGGGTTCTTTGTATATGTAACTAGTGGCATAGGAAGGTCTAGAAAGTTGGGGGCTAAAATGAAAATTCAGGGGGCAGCCAGAATCAAAATTTGAATTGAAAAAAAAAATTTTAAGTTAGTTGGAATGGAAAGGGGAGCTGTCACCCCTTCCACCTCCTATTCCTACACCAGTCTCTGTAACTATCTGTTCACTTGTGGTTAAGAAAGTTTTCCAATAGCTATTATAATACATATCTTTGTAAATTAATAATTAAAAGTAGATGTTTTTTGATGACAATAAGTCAGATCAGGTCAAAACAGTAAAACTCAGAATTCATATATATATCACTTAAAGTCATTATAAAACCTAAAAAAAGATTTTGGTAGATATTTAGGACCTATAGAATGTAGAGCACATTAATTATATAAAAAAAAGATTGATAAATTTTAAAAAAATAGACAAACAAAATAAAAAAAATAATCAAAAAAACTTTTAAACAAACAAAAAAAAATGTATTTAAAGTTTTTTAGGTAATTTTTATTTTAAAAAAAATTGTGAAAAAGTTAAGAACCACAAAGCAAAAAACAGTAGTTTTCACCTAATACCGCTTAATTCTACCATGAATTTTAAAACACTCATTTATACGATTCGGCATTGAGTCTAATAAGTTCTCTAAAATATGTTTGGGAACATTTCCAAGTATTGTTGGTAAAATATTGCGCAACTCCTCTGGGCCCTTGGTGCTTTCTTGGCAATCTCTTTATCAAGCCAACTCCAAAGATTTTCAATGCAATTTAGATCTGGGCTATTTGGTGGCCAAATTAAACGGTCAATTTTTTTGCTTTCAAACCATTCAGAGACAATTTTAGCCCTGTGACATAGGGAATTGTCTTGCTGAAAAATGAATGGAACGCTTTGCTCAAGTGTATCAATGGTAGCAAGTTGTTATTTAAAATATCAACGTAATAAATAGAGTTAAGTTGACCATCAAGTAATTTAAACATACAGAGACCATAATATGTCATGCAGCACCATATTCCAAGCGACCCGCTACCTTGTTTTGTTCTTTGAACGATACAATCGAGATTATATTTTTCTGAAGGCTGCCTGTGAATCATAATTCGACTTTTTCGATTATCAACCTTGATATTCATCTCCTCACTGAACATTACTGTCCTCCATATTTCTTTATATCATTCTTTGACGCTTTGGCGTAATTCTTTTCCCTTTTTTATATGGTGTTTGGTAAGTAATACGGTAGTGGTGTAGTGGTAGAGCGCTCGCTTCATAAACGAGTGGTTCAGAGTTCGATCCCCACCACGTCCCTGGTAGTACCGTGCTCAACTCGTTTCTCTGCGCAGCGGCCTTGTTTGTCAAGGTTCGTGTTTTGGAGTTATAGAGTTGAGAGAGGGTTATAGCCACAAAATAAGTAGCCTCCTCGTCTGTAGTGGCCTTCTCGGCCTTGAGGAGGTGAAGTATAATAAAAAAAAAAAAAAAAAAAAAAAAGTCACGGAAAAAGAAAAGAATTTTTTTTCTGTTTGAATTTAAATATTTTTTGGTTTTTGGTAATGACTCAGGTCATAAATAGAATATTTAAACAAAAAAGGTAAAAATAAATTAAAACAAAGACGTTTCTGCTGCATTTGGCACAAAAATTCTTTGTGGCTCTTAACTTTTTCACCAAAAAAAAAAAAAAAAAAAAAAATTAACACATAATATATAATCCTTATTTTTATAGGTTCTATTAATCAATTTTCAAAATAAAATAAAAAAACATCTTTTTTCTCATATTCTAATTAATATGTTTGTAAATTAAGACTATTTTGTTATTTTTGGAATAACAATTAATTAACTTTTTCACAATACTGTATATATATATATAAATATATATATATATATATATATATATATATATATATATATATATATATATATATATATATATATATATATATATATATATATATATATATATATATTTATTTATAGAGGTATAAATATAATATTATATATATGTTAGGGGTTTACCCGCTCTTATGGTCAAGTGGATAACCAACCAGAATTAAGCGGATAACCAACATTAAAATTTTGATAAAAGTATTTTTTTTGGAACAACCCTTATATATATATATGTATATTATATATATATATATATATATATATATATATATATATATATATATATATATATATATATATATGTATGTATAAATTAGTAAAAACACTTATCTAATATTTTTCTTTAACAACTTGTTTTACCATCAAGAAGCCTTTCTGATGAGCCATCTGATGGTGAAACAAGTTGTAAAAGAAAAATATTAGATAAGTGTTTTTACTAATTTATTATTGCTCTGTTCTTTAAGAACATTGAGCACTCTATTTGTAGAATACACTAATATAATTTATTTATTAAGCTCCAAGTTTACACTTGTTGAGCACCAGTAATTGTATCTTGCATAACATATACATGGAAACTAATGATTTTAATTATTCCCTAAAAAATATCCCAGACAAAAAAAAGTTATACTATTTCCTTAATTGAAAAAATAGAACACTTTATTAAAAGAATTTTTTGGAAAGCCCATTTTTTTTTAAAATCTGAAACCAATAAAAACTCTTTAATTGAAATTAACCAAAAAGAAAATTTTGGATTCATAACGAAAAACGCCCCACCATTTATTCCCAACCTAAAAAACTTTGAAAATGTAGTAAACATTTGATTAAAACAATAAAGTTTTGGAATATAAATAACCATTTCCAAAAAGAACTCAAAAAAGACATTGGTAAAATAAAATCATGATAAAATAAGTAGCATATATCAAATTACCACAGAAAACCATCATAAAAATTATTGCGCGATAATATTTTTAGTAATTATGCAAAAACCCCTAAAAGCCATCTGATGGTAAAACAAGTTGTATAAAAGGAAAAGGGAAGTAAAAAAGCTTCCAGATGAGCCATCTGATGGTGAAACAAGTTGTTGAAGAAAAATATTAGATAAATGTTTTTACTAATTTATTATTGCTCTGTTCTTTAAGAACATTGAGCACTGTAGAATATTTGTTTATATATATATATCTTACAGTCATGCATCTACTTGCTCTTATAGTCAAGCAACTAGAAACATTTTATGTAAAAATTTGATAACTTTTACATGAAAATTTAATAGAATTTAATGCATACAAGTGGTGGTATATAAATAATATAAACATATCATGACATCTATGGCATTACATTTCATAAGTTATTCACAGTTAACTGAAATTTAATAAATTACTGTAATATATATTTATTATTTTTTTTTTTTATTGATAGCACATTTCAGATAGATTGCCCATATGGAATCTGGATAAATGTATCCGAAAATGGTTCACAATTATGCATACAAAAGTTGGTATTGGAGCACAACCATGTCGTTGACAAAGTCAGTATTTTATCTTAATTTGAATTATTTTTGATTTGCTACGTGGAGTTTATTCTCTGTTAAGTATTTTGCCAAACATCTCTCTCTCTTTATATATATATATATATATATATATATATATATATATATATATATATATATATATATATATATATATATATATATATATACATATATATATATATATATATATATATATATATATATATATATATATATATAAATATATATATATATATATATATATGTATATATATATACAAATGCGTGTTTGGATGAGCATTTACTCGCAAGTTTTGCTCATCTTTTTTATGTTTAATATCTTAAAAAATACTGGGGAGTCTTCACCAATAAAATCAGTTAGCAAAACATAAAGGTTATTTTCACACAGACCCTGGTGTATACCAGCTAAAATGTTCATGTGGTTCGATATACATTGGCAAAACTAAAAAGAAGGTGATATTGAGATGTATTAAACACCAAAAAAACAGCTTAAAAGGAAAATGGCCCAGTTCGAGTGCAACTGAGCATTCTAAAACATGCCATGGTAAGTTTGATTGGTTGCACCCCAAAACATTATCTGTAGCCCCAGAATATCGAACTTGAAAAATCAGAGAGTCACTCGAAATAAGCAAGGCTAGGGTTCAACAGGAGTTGAGAAATGGTGACGTGGTTCTCAATCGGGATGATGGTGATAACGTAACAACCAAAACCTGGGGGCCATTTTTTAATAAAATCTGGTGACGTCAGTTGTTTGAAAAGTTTTTTTTTTCTGTATTATATTATGGTTTTTTAATGTTATCTTTTTAACGGTTTGTTTTTACTATAACGATTTTGTAACTATTTTGGTTATTATACCTGATGACGCTGATCACAATAGATTAGCGAAATATCAAAATAATTATATATTAAAGAAAAAATATATATATATTTAAAAAAAATTTATACGCAGCCGTATTTATTGAATTCTAACCATATTATAATGTATAACAAGAAAATGACATTCAAAGATTATATATACAGGCCTTGCGATAAAGCGTCGGGCGATGTGAATTTTACGTCGTCCAAGAGCGATTTTGCGTGTAGCTAGGGCTATTTGCGTCGAGCAAAAAATTTTTTGTTTGAGTATATTTAAAGATATTTTTGAGCAGAAATTTAATGAAGTAATTACGATTATTTTAACATTTAATAAAGTATTTTAAAAACCGCACGCAGTTGAAATAAAAGTTTGAATTTAAAAAAGTTAAATATGCTCATTATTTACAAGTAGAAAAAATTCAAAAATTAAAAAAAAAGTTTAAATCTTTTAAGCTAACATTTAATTAAAATTATTCAGCAATAGCAAAGTTATTGATAAAATTGAACAAAAATACTTTTTTTTAGTTTTAGATTTTAAACTTTTTTTTTTTTTTTTAATTTTAATTCACCTCCTCAAGGCCGAGAAGGCCACTACAGACGAGGAGGCTACTTATTTGTGGTTATAACCCTCTCTCAACTCTATAACTCCGAAACACAAACCTTGACGAGCAAGGCCGCTGCGCGGAGAAACGAGTTGAGGGCGGTACTACCAGGGACGTGGTGGGGATCGAACTCGAAACCACTCGTTTATGAAGCGAGCGCTCTACCACTACACCACTACCGCATACTTAAATAATTATTTTACGGGGGTTTGTTAGGTTTTAAAATTATTCCATAGATTTAAAAATATTTATTAACTGTTAGACGTATTTAAAGTATTTAAGAGTAATTTCGAGGAAACATTTTAAAAATTGGTGAGGACAAATAAAAAAATAAAAAAGGATTAATATTAAAACGTATTCTACTTGATTCAATAAAAAAGTACAGTTATTAAAATTTTTGTAAAAAGTAACTCAAAAAAATTACTTGAATAATAACGATCGCTTTTATGTTAAAAGTTACCGAAACTCAACGAAGCGTGCTCAAGAACAGCTGCTGAAAAATAGAACTTCAATAGTTTTTCGAATAATTTTTAAGAATAATTTTTAAGAATAATTTTTTCGCTGAAATATTTTTTTTATACGTATAAGATTTTTATTCTAACATTTTATTTTATTTTACTAGAAATAAAATTCCTTGTTAACATTAAAAATTATTCAAAACGTTCGTTTAAGTTTTTTATTAATACGAGTGATTGTGCTTATCAACCGCTTTTTGAAAATAAATAAAAATAAATAAATATTATATAAAATCGCTTGTAAAAATATTAACTATTGTTTTTAATCGTACAATATTAAAATTTCCAGTTTATTACTCGCTGACTTTTTAAAAAGAAAAAATAATTATTTGAAAAACTTTAAATTACATATTTAAGAAAAAAAAAAATCAAATATTAGTATATTTTATAATCTTTTTTAAATTTAAGTTATAATGTTTTTTATTTGTTTAGTATAGACAAAACGTGACAATAAACAAATGTTTTTACATTTTAAAAAACGAAACATTCCAAAACATTTTTAAATAATAACATTTCTACATAAATGATTTAAAGTATTTTTGCGGTAATTAAGTAAATTGGTGCAGTTAATGTCGATAAAAATGAAAAGCAAATAAAAAGAATTTAATGACGTCAAAAATCACGTCGTGCTTATGCGTCGCGCAGTTCTTATTCATCGCAAGGCCTGTATATATATATATATATATATATATATATATATATATATATATATATATATATATATATATATATATATATATATATATAATAAGCTTTAAAATGTTTTATAAAGTTTGGCTATCAAATTTGATTTTTATCCAAGATATATTTTCTCTTGAATTTTGTGTGTGTGTTCACTGTGTATCATTTTGTAAATTACTAAATGATTAGGATACAAACAGTATCTAGTTAAGTTTCTAGACAGAGTGATTTTTGTAAGTTTTAGCAGCATAATCCCATTTTCTCTTCAAATCTGTAGCTGGTTTTACTGTTTTTCCACTTAATTTCAATTTCTGTTTTATGATGCCCAATATTTTTTCAATATGAGGTAATTTGGGGCAGTTAGGAGGATTCATCTTTTTCGGAACCAACATCACTCCATTATCATCGTTAAACTTTTGAGCATCTTTTGAGTAATGTATTGCGGCTAAATCAGGCCAAAACAATACTAAAGAACTTCTATGAGCTTTAATTAGTCGTTTTATACAAGAAAGACAACATTTCACGTATTCCGAAGTTTTTATTGTGCCCAAACAAACATGAATTAGCAATTTTTTGCCGCAAGAGCAAAGTGCCTGCCAAATCATCAATTTTTTCGAAAATTTATCAGTCATTACATACTTGTATTTATCACTCAAATTTCTTCTTATTTTAAAAGCATAGTAGCACTGCCCAGGAATATGTTTAAAATCCATTTTAACATAAGTTTCGTCATCCATCAAAATGCATCCATTATGTTTTGTTAACAAGTTGTAATACAACTTTCGAGCTCGACTCTTTGCGGTTGAATTTTGTTTATCATTGCGATTTGGCATTTTAACTACTTTAAAACTTTGATATCCAAGTCTCTGTCGCCATTTATGAAAAAAATAATTGGAAACCTTCAATTTTTTTGCTCGCAATCTATCAGACCAATCAGAATGTTCTTCCAATGAAGTCTCCAACAGTTCGAGAGCTCTAGAATTTGCTGTGCGCTTTTTTCGACCTTGTTTTCTCTGAATAGTTTTCTGTTCTGCAAACCGTTTAAGAACAGTATCTACAGTTCTTCTTGATATTTTTAATGATTTCGCCAACTTTCTATTCGATAAAGTTGGATTTTTAAAGCGTTTGTCTACAATCAAAAATCTTTGTTTAGTTAGCTCGGTTGACATTTTGAAACTAAATAATATTTTTAATTATTTTTTCCTGCCAAAATGTTCTATTATACAAACACTACCACACACAAAAAAAATAATTTCAAAAAACGACCTTTAACTAGCTTTACCACACCGCAAAAGGTGGGCAGATTTTTCCGATACCATGCCTTATTATAATGTTACTTTTTCTTTTAGGTAAAAAAGTTACTCTAAAAAATCTTCATAACTTAGCTGCAAAACAGAAAGGTACCACAGATTTAAAATCACTATTTGCAGTCTTTCAAGAATGTAATGGTTAGTATAAATAATTTTTTTTTAAACAAGTTATATGCAACAAGGAAACAAATATTGGTTTCATTTTGACAGCAGATTTCAGACAGACAGCAGACATTTATAACAAAACTAATATATTTATATATAAACTATAATTATATATAAATATAATAATATTATATATATAATAATATTATAATAATAATATATAATGTAATGCTATTATAATACATATAAATTATTTTTTGTTATTAAAATTATAATTATTCATTATAATTAATCTCTGTACATGTTTTGATGGACTGTTTAGAAGAACATTCTATAAATGCTTTTTGTATTTAAGCTGTGTTATAGTGCAGAACTATTGCAGTGTTATTGTTATAGTCTTTTGTCAGTGTGTAATAATTGTGTTACATTGGATATTCAAAGTATTTTCTTAATACTCTTCTTAATACTTCTTAAAGAACAGAGCAGTAATAAATTATTAAAAACACTTTTCCATCTTTTATCTTCAACAACGTTTTGCTCTTAATATAAGATAAGCTTATGAAGCAAGTTAAATAATATAATAATTAGAATAAATTAAACTTATAATGATTTCAACTAAAAAAAGTTTTGATTTAATTTTTTATATAAAAGCATTTTTTATTAGCTTTTATCATGATTTGTTTGCATGTTTACGCAACTTTTAATTATATTCTTTTTTTAAATTTTTCTAGTTCCACTTTGACATTCTTCACTACGACATGACGTTAGTTTAGTATTCCTACTGTTGAAATATGGTTTTAATTTAGTAAATTTTTATGAATTGAAATTTACTTTATTGATCATTAGTCATCAGTTAGTAAAAAAATTATAATCAACATTATTTAGGTAACAGTAACTTTGTTTTTTTGTGGCATTACAAAATAATTTTGTACTCTTAATCATTATGTTATTGAGAGTTTGTGTAATAATTTATTAAGTATTGAGTAATTATTTTCTTTTGTTTCAGGTTTTGACTATTTTTACCTCTACTCAAGAAATAATGTCAAATTCTATAATATGGGAGTATACTGCTTCAATGAAACAGTATACTTAAAATAAAATGCATATCAAACTAAAAATTTATATTTTAACTTACTTTTACAGACTTATCTCTTGTATTTTTAAATGAATTTTAACTATATTTTTTTGTATAGATGCTCTTGTTATCAAGTTAATCTTTACACTTTAGTACTATAGTTTATCAGATTTATTAACATAGACAAGTATAGCATGGCCATGTTGCTAGGATAAGGCTACATGATGCTAGGCCTATGTTTTGTGAATCCAGACCCAGCACAGTAATAAATTAATAAACTTATAGAACTATTTATTCAAATTCAGGAAATTCCAATAGCTTGATATGCAAATATATAAAGGCAATAGCTTGCTCTTGTCAAAGAAACTTTCTGAAGAGTATGTTCATATCTATATTTAAGTGGGGATTATGTACCAGAGTTTGTTCTCCTAATAAATTTGTATTCCCTATTGCCACAGAGCCTCTCCTGCCCTGTTTCTCTTTGTCAAACACAAATCTGTTGAATATATAACTTCTTTTCTATTAGGACCAGATCTTGAACTAAGAACAGATGAAAATGGTATTGTAACTGGAATATTTTTTCAAGACTATGAAATGAAGCGATTTTTTAGTTTATATCCAGAGTTACTTTTGGTTGATGCAACTTATAAACTTACTAATTTGAGAATGCCCTTATACCTTCTTCTTGTAGTCGGACCAAATGGCGAAAGCGAAATTGCAGCTATATTTTTAACTGCATCAGAAGATTGTGTTTCACTTTCGGCTATGTTTGAAATATTCAAGGAAAAAAATATAAACTGGAGTAAGATATCATCTGTTTTTACTGACAAAGACATGACAGAGCGTGAATGCATTAAGCATGCATTTCCACAAATTAATTTATTGTTGTGTATATTTCATGTTTTGCGTTGTATGAGCAGAGAAATAACAACATCAAAAATGAATATATCTGAAGCTCAAAGACTGGTTGCTTTAAAAGCTCTACAAAAAATGACATATGCAACTACTGAGAAAGAGTATGAGAAGTTGCATGATGAGTTTCACAAAGTTATGCCACCACCTATTGTTAAATATGTTGAAGTTAATTGGCATGCTTGTAGGTTCGAGTGGGTGCGTTGTTGGCAGCAACAAATTATTACTTTTGGAGAATGCACTACTAATCGTCTTGAATCTATCAATCGAAGAATTAAAGCTGTTGTTTCTTTGTTGAGTCCTTTACCTATATTTTTCAAAGATTTGCTTACTGTAATAGCCTGCATGCGACAAGAAAGAGACCATAAATATATAACTAGTACAGAACGAGTTCCTGTTAGTGCAGTTGCAAGTTTTCAATATGAACGAGATTATAAAGATATACTAACGCCGTTTGCTTTTTCTTTTGTTAAATCTCAGCTTGATGAATCTGTCAGCATAGATTGGGACTTAGCAAATAAAATTATACAAACTTCTGGAAAAGTGAAACACGATCTGAGAACACCTGCGATTGTTTATTTACAAAGTCGATGGGTTTGCCATGCAAACACATGTTTGCAGCTAGAAGAGCAAAAAAATTACAAATGTTCTCTGAAAATTGCATTGCTCCTAGATGGTTTAAGGAAACAGTGCAGAAAAATCATTGCGTTTTTCTAACAAAGGAGCAACATGATAGCCATATAAAATTTGCTAAGCTAAAGGATAAACCCTTGACCCACATAGAAAAGTACCGTCGTGCTAATCGACTTGTACAGCATCTATCTGATTTAGCAGCAGAAGGTGGATCATCACAGTTTGAATGTAGAATGAGGGTCTTACAAAATTTAGCAAGTATTTGGGGTTCTAATAATGAAGCTATGGTAACTTCAATTCAACACCATTTTGTTGATTTTAATATACAAAACGGATGTTCCAAGTTGGAAATTGAAGATGATATATTTCGGTCTGAACTGCGTGAAAGAAAAGTAAGATTTTAATTTTTATAATTTATTGACATTTAAATTGCCAATTTGGCTGCTATAAATTGTTTATAAGTATTTCAGTATTCATAATTGTTTGTCTTCCAACTATAGTTTGAAATGACAGATTCAAGTGAGGAAGTTGTTGAAGTTGTTAATGTTGAAAAAAATGACAAAAGCAATTTTCATCCAAACTCTAGAGTAAGCTGTGATTTGTTTGACTTAATTAATAAAATTATTTATTTTATGAAGTTAAATTGTTTTATTTCCAATTATAGTTTGAAAGACCAGGTTGCAGTGGTGAAGTTGAAAGCAATACAGTACAAAACTCTATAGTATACCTTTGTTTATTTTCCTTTTTGAAATTATTTATTTTATGAAGGTAAGTTGTTTTATTTCCAATTATAGTTTGAAAGACCAGGTTGCAGTGGTGAAGTTGAAAGCAATACAGTACAAAACTCTATAGTATACCTTTATTTATTTTCCTTTTTGAAATTATTTATTTTATGAAGGTAAGTTGTTTTATTTCCAATTATAGTTTGAAAAACCAGGTTGCAGTGGTGAAGTTGAAAGCAATACAGTTCAAAACTCTATAGTATACCTTTGTTTATTTTCCTTTTTGAAATTATTTATTTTATGAAGTTAAATTTTTTTATTTCCAATTATAGTTTGAAAGACCAGGTTGCAGTGGTGAAGTTGAAAGCAATACAGTACAAAACTCTATAGTATACCTTTGTTTATTTTCCTTTTTGAAATTATTTATTTTATGAAGGTAAGTTGTTTTATTTCCAATTATAGTTTGAAAGACCAGGTTGCAGTGGTGAAGTTGAAAGCAATACAGTTCAAAACTCTATAGTATACCTTTGTTTATTTTCCTTTTTGAAATTATTTATTTTATGAAGTTAAATTTTTTTATTTCCAATTATAGTTTGAAAGACCAGGTTGCAGTGGTGAAGTTGAAAGCAATACAATACAAAACTTTACAGTTTCTTGTGAAGGGATTATAGGTTTGACAATATTTATTTATTGTAATTTTGTGTATGTAACATGTAATATGTATATGTAATTTTCCAACATTGTAAATAAATAAAATCTGATTTAATAAAAATAAAACAGAAATAAGACAAAATCAATACATAATACAATCATTACTCGTTCATCTCATTCAGTCTGAGCACATGTGGGGTACATCTATTGATCTTTTTACTATTACGTGGATTATTTTTACATTCTACATTCATTGATCTTTTTACTTTTCCAAAAAATCTTTATTGAACTGGACTTTTTTTTTTTGATGAACAAGGCTGCTGCCCGAAGAAACAAGTTGAGTGCGGTACTACCAGGGACGTGGTGGGGTTTGAGTGCGGTACTACCAGGACGTGGTGGGTTGACGCGGTGGCAACAAATTGGATGAATCATTTGCTGAATGAATGAATCAGCTAATACACTAGGAGCACCAGCAGGTGCTACACATACATACTTTTCCTAACGTTTTGCTTTACAATTCTGAATACTTCGTTTATTTTGTTCTCTACATCAACTATCTCATCTATTAAGTTCTGCCTATGTGACTGAGCTTTTTATATCGCTTGTTTTGCCACACATATTAGCCAAGGCATTGCCAGATTTTTTCCATATGTAATAAAGATTTTTCTTTTACAATTTTACCGTTCATTCCACTACCATCCAATTAGATTCTAGAAATCTTTTTCAGGCAATATAAGTTAGTTTTTTTTTACCAGGCGTTTAAGCAATCTCTCACATTGAATCAATTAATTAACATTCGCATTAATTCAACCTTGAACGAAACATTACACTGAAAGCTATACTTGCTTGCTACACATACATACTTGCTACTGGCCAATGTTGTATTTTTGCCAGTGACTCACTTAAGGCCAATAACAAACCATCAGACGTACCTCTTGTTAACTGGCACAACCGGCAATATTGTATTTTCTTTTTGAGGGTTGTTATATAAAATAAAAACTTACAATAGAATCAATTGTTGATGATCATTAATTTTTAGAAGTCAGAAAGGAAACTGAAAAACAGATTAAAGAAATCATAAGTCTCAATCAGATGGACTGTTTAAGTAAATCAAAAAATCTATTATGTGAAACTTCTAAAATACCTGAGTCCCAACTTGATTTATCCCAAATTCATTTTCCATCAAAGTTTATATCACGAGGGCGTCCTAAGTCAAAAGGGAAAAAAAATGCTGTTGGACTGCGTAAAGTTTCGAAGATCTGTTTGCCTTATGAACAGAAGACCGTTAAAGAAAAAGTTCATCGTAAGTATACATTATTATTTACATATCAACAATCAGAAATTTAAAATAGGCTTTGGTTTAATAACTCAATTTGATGAATAATTTAAGACACTTTAATTTTTTTACAATTTTGCAAGTTAACCTCCAAGAGAAGTCACAGGTTAGGGTAAGTCACGGTAGAGGAAGTCAATAGTTTCGCAAAGTTTGACCTATATGTGTTTCAAAACTAATTTAAGAAATACCTATAATTGAATTGGAATTTTATACTTCACTAGCCACCTCGTAAAATGAGATCACCGTTTAAAAATACTCGAACAAACGTTGTAGGTTTTTTTTTACAAGAGATGATGAGTTTAAATCCTAATTCTTTCTTTATTTTTAGTTTTGCTGCGGCGTCTGCTGAAAGGTGGAAGACCTAAAGATGTTACGGTTGTTACACCTGCTGATATTGCAGACCTGAATTTAGAAGCTAAAGATCTTCCATCAGCTCTAATGAATGAAATAGTAGTTTTAGAAATTCTTAAGCCATTTCTTACAAAACAAGCATGGAAGATTTTAAGAGCTTCTTTTTTAAGACGCAAAAAAATGAAAACGTGGAATTGCCCGATTTGTCTACTCAATGCTCCCACAGAATCAATTGAGTGTAGCAGTTGTCTTGAGTGGTACCACTTTAATTGTGTCAAGGTGACATCCAAGATAACTAAAAATTGGTACTGTGGTACTTGTTTGTTAAATGTGGAAACTTAAAATTTATCGGTAGTTAAAGTAGGCTATTTAACAAATTTAACAATAAACTTCATTTCTCAAGATTCTTTTTTTATTAATGTTCACTGTAATATTGGAAAAAGTTTTTAAAACTTATTTATGTATATTTATCATTACTATTTATGAAATATCTATGAAAGAATTAATACTTATTCAATGTAGTTATTGTATCTCAACAAGGTTTTATTATTTATAATTTTTATTCAAAATATATCGGCCTTTGAAGCAATGGTCAGTGACGTAGCAAGATTGTTGGCGGCCGGGTTCAGGTATTGGGAAGATGCCTTAAGGGCAAATTTTGAATATAATAAGCAGAGGATGTTAAATGAAGGACTTCAGACTTCAGGAACGTGCTAAAGTCGTGTTGAGGTCTTACTAAGTTGATGCATGTTTAAAAATTATTATGATAAACTTCAGGGAGCTGGGTTCGTTGAATCTTTTATTGCTACGCCAAACTGTATTTTTTTAAACAAGCTTTACTCTTAATAGTAGCAATACTTAGCAGTCGATCTATTTTATAAAAATTGATAAAATATATCTGCGGTATAGTTTACATGTGCTGACCATACTTAGTTTTTTTATAAATAAATATAAAATATTTATTCAACTTTTACAGACAATTGGACATTAATACAACTATTTTAAACTAATACTTTATGTTTTGCATGACAAAGTAAAGTACTATTTCAACTCCTGATAAATCTATTTTTTGTTATATCTATATAATTTGAAATATTGATTTAATATTTTTATTAATGTCTATTTATTAAAGGTAGCATGGGTACAGTATTTATCCATCCATTGCCAAATGTTTTTCTTAATTCTTGTTAAATTGGCTTAAGGTTTTATATTATTATCATTATTATTATTGTTATCACTATTAATATTCTTAAGTCCTAATGGTCTTTTCACAGATCACCAACCCATGGAAAATAGCATTTAATAGATCTATCTTAATAGAGCTATCTGTTTCCAATCTTACAGAAAATGTTTTCGTGCCAACCCGGGAAGCAAACCCAAGACTTTGTGGTCAGAGTTCGAATACTTGACCACTACGAATACTTCCTACTACGCAACGGTTCCTTGATAAAATTCAGGTCAAAAAGTTTGGACCTATTCCAATTTTTTTTTTCTTAGTAATTAACTTATACGTCCATAAGTTTTGACGTATCTTGATCTTTATTTATTTAGGAGTTCGTCTAATTTTTTCTGTACATTTGAAAGTTTGGACGTATCGTTTTAAAGTTTTAACTTTTTGTTAGGAATACGTATAAACTTTCCTACTGCGTAAGAAACTTTTTTAGTCAAAACTTTTTTCCAGTTAGAAAATCCAGGTTTCGCGTTTTTTGTGAAATCCAGACCCGAATTATATAAAATTTATATTTATATAATTTATACCATTTATACTCATTTACTTATAATAATTTTTGATAGTAATAATACTTTATAATAAAATTTGTTGATATAAAGACATATCTAAAGTAAGGAATACGTCTAAACCTTCCTACCGCGTCCGAAGTTTGGACGTATCTTTAGGGTAAAGCGGCCTAAATCTGGCCGCGTCCTTATTCTGGCCGATTTTCAGAAGCACTAAAATATTTGATGGAGGATGGAATTGGTCTGTTTTAAATAAAAAATATATTAATTTAACCTTGTAATTTTGAAATATGTACTTTAAATTCTTATATCGACTTGCTAATACTTCAGTAACATTTTAAAAGCATTTCATAAGTTTTATGTTTCCGTAAGCTCGATGTTTGCAATTTTCAAACTTGTAATGATTACATTCAAATGTAATCATTACAAACGTGTAATGATTACATTCAAATGTAATCATTACAAACGAATGATTACATTCAAATGTAATCATTCGTTTGTAAATCGCTTGAACTGAAAGTAATATTGGCATATAATTTTGTTAAAACTGTATATGTATTTATGCGTATTTTGTATATTGTTAAATAATTCTTTTTTATTTGAAAATTTATATGTACAATATTAAAGTATAATTTTTAGCGATTGTCCTATATCTGGCCAATAATTAGTCTCAATTCTGGCCATATATATGTACAATAACTTTATATAATTTTTATTTAATTTATATATATATATATATATATATATATATATATATATATATATATATATATATATATATATATATATATATATACACATATTATATTACATACATATATATATATATATATATATATATATATATATATATATATATATATATATATTTATATATATGTATTTATATATTATATATATACATATATTATATTATAATATATGTATATATATGATATATAAATACATATATATATATATATATATATATATATATATATATATATATATATGTATACATATATGTATATAATATATATGTTACATGAAATGATTTCATGTAACATACCATGTATATGATATATATATACACATATATATTATATACATATATATATATATACATATATATATATATATACATATATATATATATATATATATATATATATATATATATATATATATATATATATATATATATATATATATATATATATATATTTATGAAATATGATATATTATGATAATATGAAATATGAAAAACCATTTAAGCCACACCAAGTGTGAAATCATGAACATTAAACTAAATATTATATATATAAATTTATATATATATATATATATATATATATATATATATATATATATATATATATATATACATACATACATACATATATATATATATATATATATATATATATATATATATATATATATATATATATATATATATATATATATATATATATATATATATATATATATATATATATATATATGTATATATATATATATATATATACATATATATATATATAAATATTATATTATTGCTGTTAATAATATAATCTTACATATACAGTAAGATAAATGTAAAAAACAGACAGCATTAGCCACAAGAATCATAATAATTTTATTTTTTTCAATTTTCTTTAGAATGGAAAAAATGAAGAAAAATAAAATAGTTAAAAATAATTCAAAGAAAATCAAAGTGCCAAGAAGTAAACGTGGAAAACACTGTCTATGGAATAATGCATCTATGATATCAGCAGTTGAAGCTGTAAGAAATGGATTTTCACAGAGAGCTGCTTGTAAAACTTTTGGCGTTCCAAGAAGTTCATTGCAAGTTCGACTATCTGGAGTAACCGAAATTGGAGCCAAACCCAGACATCCAACTACTCTAACTGCAGAAGAAGAAAATAAAATAGTAGATTTTGCATGCAATCGTGCATCTTTAGGAATAGGATTCGGTCGATCTCAATTTTTTAAATATGCAGAAAACTTTGCTTTAAAACATAAAAAATCATTTAAGAATGGAACACCTTCTAAAAAATGGTGGCGTGGAATGTGCAAAAGGCACAAGCACTTTACTTTACGTCAACCAGAAGGAACAGCTGCTATTAGACATCAATGTATGAATGCTTCTAAAGTTTCAAAATATTTTACTGTTCTCAAAAATGTATTAATGGAAAACAACTTAAATAATAAACCACAAAACATTTGGAATATGGACGAAACTGGTATGCAGTTTGATTATCGCCCTGAAAAAATAATTGCTAAAAAAGGAGTAAAGTATCTACATAGTCGTACTTCAGGTAATCGGGAAACGATTACTGTTATAGCATGCTTTAATGCAACCGGTAACTCTATTCCTCCACATTTTATAGTAAAAGGAAAAACTATAAGATCTCTGTGCAATTTTCAAATTGAAAATGCCCCTGAAGGAAGCACATGGAGTGTTTCAGACAGTGGTTGGACAAAGCAGGGCATTGCGTTTCTCTGGTTTACAAAGTCATTTCTTCCAAATATTGGTTCTGACAGACCTCAGTTACTTATTTTAGATGGACATGACTCACACAACTTTGTTGAGTTATTAGATGTGGCTGTGGCAAACAAAATACACATTGTTGAATTTGCTTGCGCACACTTCCAACTGGCTACAACCTTGTGATAGGACAGTGTTTGGCCCACTCAAAAAAGCTTACAGAAAAGCATGTGAGAATTTGATTAGTAATTTTCCTGGGACACTAGTTTCGAAAGTTAGTTTTTGTGGCTTGATGAAGCAGGCTTGGAGTGAATCTGTTACTGTAAATAATATTAAATCTGGTTTTTGAGCTTGTGGAATCTATCCATATGATCCAAATATAGTTCCAACCGAAGCTTACATTCCTAATTCTCTATACATGTCGTCAGAAAGCCATCAAAAAAGTGAGAACATATTGAATAACATAGACAAATTAACATCACTATCTATTGATCATTGTGAAATAGAAGAGTTTATGGAATATCCATCAAATCCAACAAATGAGGAACAAGTTGACTTTTCTATATCAGCGTTAGCAATTAACAAATCTCCACCTTTAAATTTTGATCATACATATGCCATTTCTAATACATCAGTAACTAATTTAGTTTCTGTTAATATTAATAATAAAGATAGTGTCATTTCTAATACACCAGCAACTAATTTAATTTCTGGTAATATTAATAATCAAGATGTCACAAGAAAAAAAGAGATAGGAGGTTTAGATATCTATCAAAATTTTCCATTTCAAAATCATTCTTTTCCAGGAGATCCAGATTCTGATGTTTTACCTTATCCAACACAAATCATAAAAAAAAATAAAACATCATTAAAACAAAAATATTTTTTGCTAACATCGAAAGAAGCTATGGAGTACAAACATGCAGAAGTTAAAAATAAGTTACTCCAAGAAGAAAAGAAAAAAGAAAATATTATATAAAAAAAGAAAAAGAATGAAGAAAAATTACTCCAAGAACAAAAAAAAAAAAATACAAAGTGAAAAAAAAAAATTTATAACTGCAAAAGAAATGAAGATAAACATTTTCTTTTTAATCATTATTCGTTTTTATTTTGCTTTATTTTGTTTTAATTATTCGTTTTTATTTTGTTTATTGTCTTTAACTTGAATATTGATCTTTTAATATCCTAGTTATTGCTATGTTCTACTTAGTATACCTGACTAAACTTGTAATAAGTAAACAAGCTTAGTTTCGGTCTTTTATTTCTATATTATGCCTTAATCTGGCCGATGGCCAGAATTAGGTAAGAACCGGCCAGAATTATATCCAAGTGGCCAGAAATAGGTCTTTTAGCGTACGTCTAAAATATTGGTGCTTAAGCATGCTTGTCTAGCCTAATTTAAAAAAAAAAAAATTGTAATTATATTCATCTTTGAATATCCTATTAATATTAAAATTGTTTTGTTTATATTACGCTATGCGAATTTATATTTAAAACAAATAAGTAAGAAGTGGCCAGATTTTGGTCAGTTTGCCCTAACTTATTTTTTTAAGAATACGTCTAAACCTTCCTACCGCGTCCGAAAGTTTGGACGTATCTTTAACTTATTTTGTTAGGAATACGTCTAGACGTACCCGTAGCCACTGCGATATATATATATATATGTTAAAACGTAAGATGGAAAAAAGCAGCTCGTTTATCATTGTAAATCCCACGAAGAAGCACTTCAATATATTAAAAAATATGAGTTAGAAACAACAACATAATTTGTGGTGTTTAAGGCAAATAAAAATTTTGGAGCAACTGGTGTGCTAGTTTTTTGATATAAAAATGTTTAAAATAATATATTTTAAAATATTTTAAGTCAGTTTATTTAAAATTTTTTTACACTTTAATAGATTAAAAAAGTTATGCTTTAGAGATTCTTACCAAGACTCATAATGTACTTTAAGATGATTTTGCTATTCCTTATTCTGGGATGCCTTTCATAATAGTTTCAAGTAAAGTTTTAGATTGTCATCATGGGTTCGATCAAAACATTTTATTAAAAAAAAATATCAACAAAAGAAAAGAAAAACTAACGTAATACATTACTTTTAAATCTTTGGTATCATTCTTTTCTTTAATAACTTTTAAAATCAAAATAAGTTTTGAAAAATATAATGTATAATCTACTTTAAATGTACTGTATAACTGTTTGGTTATAGATGGATGACCACTGCTTTCAAAAAAACTACGTTATTTTACAAGATACCAAAAATATTGCAATTTTCTGATTTTAAGGTAAAGGTTTAGTATATAAATTATTTATAAAATAATATGTTATATGTATTAAGTAATCCTAAAACAGTAAAATTGTATTCTCACTTTTTATATATTTAGATATCAGAGAGGTCTGTATGGCGTCAAAATAAAGCCTCAAAACTGTTGCGTGAAAAACTAAAAACCTCTGCATTGAATGAAATATTGCATGTAAGAACAACTGTAGTTACTATTGACAATGTATCATGTCATGATAAACATCTTGTTGGACCAGTATAAAAATATAAAATAGTTTAATTCTAAATTGTAGATAATTATTCAACCAATAATTTTTTTTTTTTTAAGGCTGAACTGATAGCTCAAAGTATTGATCCTCTAATTTCCAAAAAAATAGAAGATTATGTTATGGAAGGAGTATTCAATGTAAGAGAGATAAAACGTCTCCTTCGGATTGCTGTCAATGACATTTTTGAAAAAGAAATTCTTCCTCCTCCAAATAACAGAAGGTTCTTCCCTCGTGTTGATACAATAAGTTGACATATCGTTAAAATCAAGCAAAAGTTAAGGTAATTCAATAATTATTAGATTGCTAGTTATAAAATAACTAATTTTAGTTTTTAATATAAAGATAATTTTTAAATTTTTCATGTATTGCTCAATGTTGTAATTTTAAGCAAAAATGCAAATCTTTCATTTTATGTATATATATATATACAGTGCTCGAAGTGGAGAAAAAAAAGTAATGGGGTGGTATTCGGTAATGAATAAATACCATCCCGCCTAATCATTGTTATATATAGAGATTTGTAAAAAGGACCTGCTTCAATTCGAAACTAAAAATGCTGATTTGCAGGGCCCAATTATATATATATATATATATATATATATATATATATATATATATATATATATATATATATATATATATATATATATATATATATATATATAGCATTTACTATATATATATATATATATATATATATATATATATATATATATATATATATATATATATATATATATATATAGTAAATGCTATATTCGACACCACCATCCGCCTTAAAAATACTTTAGGGAACTTGATAAAAATGTCTGCACTAAATATTCATTAACGGATGGGTAATTACGGTTCATTAACAGATGGTCCTATTGCAAAATATTTAAATCTATAATTATGTTAAAACACTATAGTTATTACATGAATTCACACATATAAGAGATTGTTATATAGAATCATATAGACAATATAAACATCTGCATATTAAAATATATATATATATATATATATATATATATATATATATATATATATATATATATATATACAGGCTTGGTACGGAAGCGGGAGCGATTGATTGCTGACCACGTAAATAATATTTAGTTGCGAAAAGCTGGCCAGAATTTTTAGTCATTTTGAGAACATTTTAAAAAGCAAAAAAAAAAAGCGACAAAGATTAATTGGACCAATGAAAGACAATTACAAAAAAAAAAAAAGTAGGCAAATAAAATATCTTAAACGCGAAAAAACTTTAGGCTAAATAAATTACATTTAGAACAAATATTTACGAAACATCGCTTTTTTATAAATTTTTTTTATAAAATTAAGCGATGTTTTTTATATAAAGTAACAACTTACGATCGTTTAAAAGGGAAACAAATATTCTTTATTTAACTTTTTTCCAAGTTTTAGTTTTACTTAAGCTTAATTTACTTTATAAATAAAAAAGTTAATTTTTTAATACCTATTTTATGTTTCGCGTAGTTTGAAAAGTTTAACATATTTAAAGCGATTCTTCTTAGTAAGATAAACAAATGAAATAATTAAATCATTGAATTACTTTAGGAATTAAATTATCAAGTTAGAAATCAACTAAAAAGGTTAAAAATACGTAATGACCAGGAAGCGAAACTGCTTCACAATATCGCTGGTGATGTTTAGTGAGTGGGTTTTTAATTTTAATTAGTATTTAAAGCAGAAAAAAGTATAACGAGTTTTAAGAATGGCAACTTAAGCGAAAATAATTAGAGTTAGTAAAACAATATCTAGAAACTTTTCTTTATATCTAATTATTTGCTATTATATATTTGTGTTCTGTCGTGACTTCAGGCGCGATGCTTGTTCATCCGCGAGTTACTTTGTATGCGTTGTTTGTGTTAAGTAACCAGAAACTTCTTATATGTTTGTTACATAATTAGTTTTATTAACTTTAACGATTATAACTTCATTAAAAACGCAATTATTTTTGCAAGTCTTTGTTTAAATCATAAAAATTGCTTTAAAAGATACATTACGATAAAAAACAAATACACAAAATTACGTTTACATAAAGAATACAATCTCTTTTAATATAAAAAATAAGAATATACTAATAAAATCTATGACTTAAAATAAAATTTTAACAGTTTAATTAATATATATTTAAAACATTTATTTTCGTAAACAAATAATATATATTCTTAAAACAATACTAGAAATCTCAAAACATAACAAATCGTGAATAATACAATTTCTAAAACATTTTAACAGAATAGAACTTTATTTAACTCTAGAACTTTATTTCGCTTAATCAGCGTATTTTTTGAACCAATAGAATTAGTTTGTATTTTAATTTGGCGGGTTTTTAGTGTTCGCAAATATTCTTTTTATTCTTTCGCACGAAGATAATTTGAGAACATTCTAGTTTATTATGTTTCCATGTATGTCCGTAAAACAAAAATTATTTGTTTCGTACATAAACTTAAATTTCTCAAAACGACTAAAAAACCTGGCCAGTTTTACGCAACTAAATATAATTTCCGTGGTCAGTATTCGAGAGCGATCGCTCCCGCTTCCCGACCAAGCCTGTATATATATATATATATATGTATGTATATATTAATAATATAAATAAATATAAATAAATTGAACCCAAAGCTCATTA